CCCCCCCCCCCATGTCCTCTTTGGACCGTCGTCGTCGTGCATCTCAAGACTCTATCCCTGGGGGTGCGGACATCCTGAACGAGGCGATCACCGACAGTCTTCTGCAGGAACGATATCGACGCATGCTAGACGTTGCTCGCGGCGGCGGCGGCGGCGGCGGTGCCGGGGACCGGGCTAGCAGCGAAGGGGTAGTCACGCGTCCGTCCGCGTAGCCCGTGAGATGGGGCCGTCCGTGAAATCTCTTCGAGCCCAGTTTGTCCTTCAGTATGACATTGCTTGTCCTTTCTGTTGGAGTCGGGAAGAAGCGGCAAGGAATCACCTGTACGTTTCTCTGTCAAGGGCGGTGCGCGTTTTTTTTTCGTTGGTGTTAATTGTTGATGGCGGCGGTGTGTTGGTGGGATCGGTGTCGGGTTGCCACCGTTGCAGAAGCGCGAGCGGTGCTTTGGCAAGCCGCCTTTGGTGGTGGCAGCGGCAGTGCTCCAGCCTCCGCCCCACCCAAAAATAGCCGTAGTACGGGGGCGGAGGAGAGGTTAGAGTCGCGGAGGGAGCTGGAACACTCGTATTAATTGAAGCGTTTCGGTTTCGCGGGCGTGTGTGGCAGCCGTTGCCTGCAACGGAGTAGCGGGGTTGCCGGGGCACGCTGGCTTATTTGCACAAAGCGTGTACACAGTCGGAGAGAGTCGGAAAATGTCAGTTTCGCCTCTGTCACAGCATTCAGGAACACTGGCCACGCTGCGCCGTTTGTGACCAGACCTCAAGTGTTGCCTCTTCGCCGAGTACACACCCAATCGGTGCTAAGGTGGGGTTTGCATCATGTAGAATTCTTCTTGTTGCTGCGCTGACACGCTTCCTCCGCCGGGAATGTTCTATGTCTCTTAAAAATTGCGTTGTTCCGGCCTTCTGTACGGAATCGGGCAATTTCCAACAACGCCAATGCAAGCAAGCGCCGAAGGCCCCCCGAGCCCTATTCTGACTCGCGAGTTTCCGGTGTAGATTTGATGTTTCGTGCTGTGTGTTTGGGCGGAATGTTGTCAGCGGCACACTCCCCACTGCCGGTCTATTGTTGTTGCCGTTCTGGCTACCCTTATCTCACCAACTACCCGCAACCAACGGGTGCTTTCGAATTTCCGTCGTGGCCCGGAACGATCCACGTTGTTGAAGGAAGGCCTGAACTCAATCAAATCCCATGGACGCCTTCTTCCCTCCACGCTACATCCGGGTGCATAACAATTCAAAATTGAGCGTGAACTTCGTGGATTTGCCGGCGATGAACAAGCCATCGAAGAGTCTTTATCATACGGTTAATTCCACAACCCCCCTTTGGCGGAGGAGCCCTAGGCCAGGTGCACGTCACGGCGAGCACCGTGGGTATCGTGCATGCTGCACACATCATCAAGCACGGTACATTGTAGATTTGGCACTTACATTCCGCGCTTCAGCAACAGACGAGTCTAGTATCATGGAGCCAATGGTGACCTTTTTATACGCTATGCATTAACTGGCTTGTATACTCCGCATGTCTGAACTACATGTATCTACATGAAGTAACACGTACCGCAGCTGTGCAGCAACACGAAAGCGAAAACGATGCCTATGCATAGACTATGTATTGGATGAAACTACTGCTGTGATTCTCTGCGTTGCATCTTTTCGCCCTGGTTTTCACAAAAATCATGCACCATAGACTAGACTGTACCATTTCCCCCCACACGAACGCAGCTTCATTGGCATGATCATGGTAACAGTTACTGAAATCACTTTCGTTCAAGCGGACCCAAACCGTAACTACGGACCCCCCCCTCGTGATGTGATGGAACCCCCGACAGCAGTAGTACACTCTACAGCAGTAGTTGTGTGCACCAACGCAGGGGTGAACGCGCTCCGAGATACATTATCTAGCGGCCACGGCGCCGTCATGGCGTTCTTGAATGTGCAGCCTCCCGGTGATATTCCCGGCCCGCCCGCTGCCACCGCTCACAAGTACCGGATTGATCTGAAGAACAGACTCGTCCGCGCTGATTTCTCCAAGAGCGGCACAAGGTTAGAACAGGACTGATAGTAGTCGTATGCATGAGGGCAGCTTGTGGCTTCTCCCGAACGACCCCGCCCCTGCTGCACATCGTTTACGGTACTATGGGATGTTTCGATCGGGCGGGGCGTATGGGGGGAGGTCGGCGGCGGTGCTGTGGACGGGGGGGAGGTCGTGGGGTGTGGGACTTGGAGCATCATGTGATCCATTGATCCATTCTCTCAATTGAAAATGCGGCGCGATTGCTCTCCTACCACTGCTATTTTCTTATTTTTTGCCGACCGCGCTCGTGTGCTACATGTAGTGTGTTCTCTACACAGTTTGGCTGTCAGCTGCTACTAGAGGGACAAAGGCAGAGGAACTGGTTAAGGTGTACCCACCACAAGTGCTGTTGGTGTTGGTTGCGTGCGTAGCTGTCGGGCTCATCTTCAATTTTTTCTAGTTGGATTATAGCAGCCTACAGCAGCACCACACTGCTGTAGACTTGTTCCGACGACACGTGTAGGCCGAGTTGTACATTTTTGAATGAGGATTTGCTGTCTCTGTGTCGTGTGGCCGAAGACAGCAGTCAGTCCACCATCTCGGCACCATAAAAACTGGCGACGGCTTAATGATGTACCAATCCTCTTGATTCATGTTCCACACCTGTTCATGGAAAAAATTCAAAAGTCCAAACATTGCTCTGGTACGGGTGTAGACTACATGCGTGCACATGTGTACATACCCGTAGGTTGCATGGTGTAACCCCTGGGCTGATTGTCGAAGCTCGATATATCGGAAGGAAATGTAGTGACGGTGCCGACAATGGCGGCGTTGGAACAGTCTCGTCGAGAGCTTTCCGAAAACGTTTACTCGGCATCCTCTCCATCGTAGTAGAGGTTTGAGAATCGGTCCAGGGGGTGTGATATCTTCCGCAGCGTACGGTACAGCAGTGCGGGCCCCTCAAGAACACACCTGTGTGTCGCCGGCGCATCGACCGCCGCCACAATATTCAGAGGGATTGTGGGCGCTATCCATTGCACAGGATGACATGGTGATTCAATCCGTGCCCTGCTTGTTTACCGGCGCTATAGACTACAGGGCCACCGACCGGCGCTGATCGACCCACGTTGTTGACGACCCCCCGCAACAGCAGTAGTCGAAAAGATTCTCGGACCCCCTCCACTACTGAAGTAGCTGGCTTTGCCTTCACACGGGAAGCTGAATGTAGGGGCGTAAGAGGTCCAGTAAGCGTGCAGATAAGCGATGTGCTACTGCAATGCCCACGATGTCTTCTGGTCTTTTTGTGTACACATGCCACGTTGTATGTACTACTCGCCAGGCGCGGTCTGATTTTCGGCGGGCACCCCGTGTGCTAGGTGCCACTGCTTGCAGGGTGGAACACGCCCTCTTAAGAATTCCATCATTTCGGAGTCAGACATCTTTTGTGTCGTTTCCATCGGAGGAATGCATACACGTGCGTATGGTTGGTGTCGGGCTACCCCGCTGCACCCCTGGCGTTGGACAATTGCGTTGATGGACTACAGCACGCGCCACGACTACTTAAGAACCCAGGAGTTACGAAATCAAGCCTAAGCAAAAAAATATCAGAAGTGAAGGACTTGAGCACCATTTGTGAGCTCCGTTAGGACCCCTACACAACAAGTAAAACCTACGTTGCGACCATTCGTAGCATGACCCGAGGAATACAGCAAGAACCCAAGCCTCGGCCGAAACTATTGAATAGAGCTTCGTATGTGCCGGCGCGTTCTGTACAATACATGGACGACTTTTGCAGGTTGCCCATCGTGGTAGAATAACATCGATTTTGCAGCCCTTGTTTCTTCGAAAGTATACGTGACTTGGCTGATGGCCAGGCAATGTTGGAAACTTTAACCTTACGAGGGCGGGACAGATTTTTGAATCTCTCCACCCGAGGGTGCAAACGAGGGCACAGAAATAGAAGTAAACAGCAAGCGGGGGTAATTTTTTCGAATTTTGTTTCGTGTACTAGTACATACCAGGAATGTAGAGTGACACTAGTAGTAGTAGGTGCTGAGGCTCGGCTCGTCTCGGCTCGGCGCTGAAGCTCGCCCTTTATTTTATTTTTTGCTTGTTCAGATATCAGGCTGACTTCGAGATGACGAAAAAAGATATTCTCGTGGTAAGTCGGCTGATCGACACTGGCGCAAAAGTCAATCAATACATCAACCCATCAATCGTTGAGCAGGATAGACCCGTTGGACGAGGCGTACGTGCTGGGGTTGTTCGAGAGGCCGGATGTAACGGTCGTCATCAAGGGCCTGGCGAACGGCCTGGACCCGCACTTGTGGAACACCCGCTACCTCAACGAGCGATGCGGGGAGATGATGTGAGTTTTTTTTTTTTCCCGAGTACATGCGATAGCTGTTCGTGGTGTTGTCGAGAAAAACAAAAGAAGAAGCCACTTCGACCCCATGGGCAAAGGAGATACGGAGATGAACACCAGCATATCGTTCTTGAAAGTATATGGCGAACTCTTATTCTCGCGTCTTTTGCTTCCTCGAAGACACTGCTGTCTTGTGTAGACTATCGCGCAAGTATAACATGGTATGACGCATAGCACGTGGTATGCGTATGTATGTTTCTTAACCATCGTCGTATCAGGGAGCAGTAGCACCAGCAGAGCTCATGCTCGCGGTGGCCCACACTCGCCACGGAAATGCGAACTGTAATTTAGTTGATCGGCGTCTTCATTCTGTTTGCCAATCATTCATGATATCTGCACCATACGTCGATGGCAAGTTCGACTTGAAACAACGAATATCAGCAGGCCGTAAGAGTCTTCACCATACGTAGGTAGGTGGCAAATTCTATTTGAAATGTCGGATATCAGCACGTTGTTGTAACAACCTTTACTTCCAGCGCTTCTGCAACGCTGCGCCCCCGAAATTCGGAGGTGCCCGTCGCCACGCCTAGGGGCAAGACAACCAACACACTTTGGCGTGTTCGGGTATATAGGCCTTGCCATCACATGCTTCTGCCCCCCACCCCCCCCTGCCGCCTTTGGCAAAGTAGGAAGGAACGATTGGCCATCGGTGATCGGTCCTCTGGGAACAATGCTCCGTCCTATCGAGGACGCGTGGCCAATGGTCTAACAACTAAGGCACGAAAAAACGTGAGCACGCCCTCCCCCTCCTCCCGCTCTTTGCGAAACTCGATCACTACCCTACCCTACTGCTGCACACGCACATGGCAGGTACCACAGCTTTCGGAGGTTCACGCGCCCAGGCGGAGCCCGCCGGGGACCGTTCGTTCCCATCCCCGTCCGGGAGGAGGCGTGGTCCTCGATGCGTCTACGCGACTACGTGCGGTGGGTACCCCCCCCCCCCCCCCCCCCCCCCCCCCCCCCCCCCCCCCCCCCCNGGGGGGTCCCCCCCCCCCCCCCCCTAGCCCCCTCTCCCGGTGTTGGTTCTTGCGACGGAGCACCCCGACAGAAAAACGCCTGCCTGCAACGACGAAAAGCCTGTCTTCATCATACTTGTAGCGTGGGGTAACTGATCCGCTCTTTGACTTTGCAAAATGGCGCGCAGAGTCCTGACCGGGCGTGCTGCTTCATCTTGATCCTCCTGGTTTTCCAAGCGCCATCGCAGCAAGCGAGGGGAAAACCCTCCTTCATGTAGTACTAACTCCGCCGTTCAAATGAAGTTGGCCATTTGTCGGGAACTGCTGCTGTGGCCGCAGCTTGTTTTTTTTCCCGACATGTCGCTAAAAGTCAGATCCGCTGCTCGAAGCGACAAATGAAGCCGTGTAAA